CATCAGCGCCTCGCGAGAGTGCGGTGGCTGGATCCTGTGCCTGCTCCATGTAGTCTGCCTTTTGCGCTCGGGGAAATTCTGAAGGTGTGCTGTCGAGAAGTGAGTTGAGTTCTGTCTGGAATCCAGTTTCACACTTGAAGTTCAACAGCTGAGGTTCGTAGCTGGTCTTTAGGAGATCTATAAACTCCTGGTCTCCCAAACAAATGTTCTTTCTGTGTCTTTATAGACACCCAGCTGTATTTTTCCCAAGACAGGGTCTGAAACTTTCATGAGGATCACAAAGAGATCTGTGACCCATAAAAGGCTAAGGACAGTCATCACCTGCATATCCAGAAGGGATTGGAGGCAAGGTTTTTTTTTTGTGTGTGTGTGTGTGTGTGTGTGTGTTTTTTAAGATTAATTTATCTATTTGGAAGGCAGAGTTACAGAGAGGCAGAGAGAGAGAGAGAGAGAGAGAAAGAGAGAGAGAGAAAGGTCTTCCATCCAATGGTTCACTCCCTGATTGGCTGCAATGGCTGGAGTTGTGCCGATCTGAAGCCAGGAGCCAGAAGCTTCTTCTGGATCTCCCATGCAGGTGCAGGGGCCCAAGGGCTTGGGCCATCTTCCACTGCTTTCGCAGGCTACAGCAGAGAGCTGGATCAGAAGAGTAACAGCCGGGATTTGAACCAGCGCCCATATGAGATGCTGGCACTGCAGGTGGAGGTTTTACCTGCTATGACACAGCACCAACCCCAGAGGCAAACATTTATCACAGGTGTACTATATGTTGGAAGCCATGCTAGGCTTGTTCAGTGTAAATTATCTTGTTCTGTTCTTCCAGCAATCTAATGCAATAGTACTTTTTTCCCAGATTAATTTTAACTTACTGCGTTTTTTTTTGTTTGTTTTTTTTTTGTTTGTTTTTTTTTTTAAAGGCAGAGGGACATAGAAGAAAAGACAAACAGAGATCTTTCAATCTTTCACCTGCTGGTTCATTCCCCAAATGTCTGCAATAGCTCGGGCTGGGCCAGCCCAAAGCCAGGAGCTAATAACTCCATCCTAGTCTCCCACATATGTGTTTCAGGGGCCCAAGAATTCGAGTCATCATCTGCTGTCTCCCAGGCACATTAGCAGGGAGTTGGGACCCGATCCCAGGCACCCTGACAAAGGGATGTGGGCATCCTTGGTGGCGCCTTAGCCTGCTGTGCCACAGCACAGTGTCTGCCCATGGTTCTTGTTCTGACAATAACTATGAAAACAATGGTGTCACCACTTAGGCGTATTGTGTGCTGTATGCCAGCCATTGTATCAAACGCAGACGTAGAGGATCTCATTTATTCCTCCTCCACATCCTGCAGTACTGGTAATAGTTACAATTCTCCCCATAATACAGATGATGAAACTGAGGCACAGAAAAGTGTGGTGATTGGGTTCACGCCACTCGTGGCGAAGTTCGCTGTCTTAGCCTTTCTGCTGTTAGGTCACAGGGAACACATGATAAAGCTAGGATTCAAACCTGGATCATTCGGCTCCTCTCTGCTGCTTCTCAGCGGAGGTCCAGTGTTTTAGTAACACCGCGGTTCTAGAGCTAGGAGGGGGCAGAAGCCAAATCCACACATGCCTGTGTCTGATTCCAAAGTCCAGGTTCTGTTTCCTCCTGCACCTCAGAGTGCCCATTGCCGGGGCAGTCCTCTGTGGAGGCTGCAGAGAGAAGGTCTCGTGTGTCGTGGAGTCCTGCTGTACTTGGGAAGAGGCAAAAACCGTCCTCATTGATCTTAAGCCTCAGGAAGGCAGGGGCTGGACTTTTCCTGCCATTTTCATTGTCTACGGCATGCACAGCAAGCTTTCAATAAGCATAAAGAGGTTCACTCAATCGGTGTATTTGTGCTGTGGCGTAGTAGACTAAGCCTCAGCCGGCGTCACTGGCATCCCATATGGTTGTTGGTTTGTGTCTCGGCTGCTCTTCTTCCAGTCCAGCTCTGTGCTTATAGCCTGGGAAAGCAGTGGAAGATGGCCCAAGTGCTTGGGTCCCTGCACCTGCCTGGAAGACCTAGAAGAAGCTTCTGGCTCCTGGCTTTGGATCAGCCATTTAGGGCATGAACCTGGAGATGGAAGACCTTTCTCTCTGTCTCTCCCTCTCTCTCTCTGTAACTCTACCTCTCAAACAAATAAATAAAACCTTAAAAAAAATCAGTGTATTTGTAAAGTAGAAATGAGTTCTAGGACAGTTCATTCAACTGGTGCTTAAACAGCTCCATGTCGTTGCCCGGGCAGGCATCGTAATGTGACTCATTAGGTTCCAGCGAGAAGCAACTGGGCTATGGCCCAGCACGGCTCAAAAGCGCTTCCAGGGGTTTATTCATTTATTTTTTATTTGAGAATCAGAGAGAGCACCCATCTGCTAGTTCACTCCCCAAATGCCTGCAATGGCTGCGACTGGGCCAGGCTGAAGCCCTGGGAACCAGGAACTCCATGTACATCTCCTACATGGGTAGCAGGGACCCAGCTGCTTGAGCCATCAGCACTGCTTCCCAGGGTCTGCATGAGCAGGAAACGGGGATTAAGGAACAGAGCTGAGACTGGAACTCAGGGACTCAGAGACGGATGCAGGCATCTTAACCACTAGGCCAAACACCTGCCCTGATTTTAGATATTGCCGTTCAATTGATCCTCACTCCACCCTGTGCACTGAAATGCAGAAAGACCGCTCAGCTAACAGGGTTATGATTCAAATCTGTGACAGGAGGATGGCCACTGCTCCGTCCCACTGAAGGGCTGTGCACGTGCAAATGTGGAGGGAAATGCAAGCAAGAGGAAGGTGGGAGTCTTGAAAAGAATTCCAGGGTGTTGTAGACAGTTGGGGGGGGGCGTGGCTATCACCAGCCGGCCATTCACGGTCTGCCAGAGAGAATGCGATCCCATCTTTTCCATCGGGACACTTTCTGAATGCAGTCTCCAAGCAGTGGTCCTTTTTCCGTGAGTCGGGACTGCCACAGCAGAATGCTCAGCACATCCTGAAGTCATGGTCACAGTCACGGTCACTGCTTCACTCTAACACCTCTGTGCTCACTCACAGGGCCTTTCTCATGCTCAGTGACACGTGGTACACAGTCCTCTGGCCCCACCCTGAAAGGGGAAGCTAAGTTACTTCTTAACTTCTTTCATAACTCTGACTCCATGAGGGCTACAGCAGTGTCTCAGCACCAGTGCCATCCTATTGGGAGCACTGTCAGGTTCACTGCCAGATGCTGATAGCATCCCTGGTCGCTGCAGGATGTTTACAGCACCTGCTGCATGGCAGGGGTGACCCCCCCCCCCCCGCAGTGTACAAGAGCCAACAGTGTCTTCCACCCAATACTGCCAGATGGGCACTGTGGCTGGGGGAGTGGCTAGGGGAGAGGGGGAAAACCAATGCTAGTTAAGAACCCTGTTTAGAGAGTCATTTGTTCAGAGATGCACGCGCATAGCCATGGTGCACCAAGTACCTTTAGCCTAGGACTTTTATTTTTTTACCTCCTGCTTTAGGTTTTTCTCCCTTTGCTGTTGTAGATGGTATTTCTTTTTTTTAATATTCTGTTTGTTATTTAAGGTTTTGTCTCTTTGAAAGACAGAGGGCAGAGGGAGAGAGAGAGAGAGAGAGGGAATTTTTCATTTGCTGACTCTCTCCAAATGATCACAATGGCAGATGGGCCAAACTGAAACCAGGAGCCTGGAACTCCACCTGGATCTCTCACTTGGGTGGCACTCACTGCTTTCCCAGGCACATTAACAGGGAGCTGGATTGGAAGTGGAGCAGTCGAGACCCGAACTGGCACTCATGTTGGGTGCTGGCATTGAAGGCAGCGGCTTTACCTGCTGCGCCATGGTACCAGTCCCTTTTGTTTTGTTTTTGTTTTTAATCTGTAGAGGAATCTTGGCCTTGATCTTGCTTCTTATTGTTGGCATCTTCCCAGCTCACAGTTTTTGGGTTGGAGCTGGGATTTGGAGCCAGGCTACCTGATTCCCTCATTTGCCTTCATGTCCAAGATGCCTTAACCCCATCCTCTTTCAGATGCAGTCCACGACATCACTGATAGGAACCCCTTCAGTTCGGCCCAGAAAGTTGACAATTGGGGCTGTGCTGGTGCTGTTTTCATGTCCGTAATGGAGTACTCGGGGCTGGGTGCTTAAGAGAGATTTGTGCAGCTCACAGTGTGGGAGGCGGAAAATCCAAACAGCATGGTGCTGGCATGGGGGAGGACCCCATGGCCGTGTCAACTCGTGGCTGACAAACCCATGGGAGCAGGAGCACATGACAGGAAGGGAGCCCATCACCAGAAGAGCAGGGAAGGGCTCTTCTCTTTCCTTTTAAAGATGTACTTACTTATTTATTTATTTGAAAGGCAGAGTTACAGAGAGGCAGAGAGAGAGAATCTTTGAGCTACTGGTTTACTCCCCAAATGGCCAAAATGGCTGGGGCTGGGCCAGGCTGGAGCCAGGAGCCAGGGGCTGCATCTGGGTCTCCCATGTGGGTACAAGGCCCCAAACTCTTCAATCATCTTCAGCTGCCTTCCCAGGAGCATTAGCAAAGAACTTGATCAGAAGTGGAGCAGCTGGGACTCGAACCGCTGCCCTTTGGGGATGCTGGCAACACAGGCATGGTTTAACTCACTGCATCACAGTGTTGGTCCCTGGCAGGGCTCTTTTCTAATAATATATTCTTGTGAGAACTAACTCAAGGCCCCATAAGAATACTTCACTCCCTTCTGGGGTCACATTTCCAATGACACCACCCCAGCTCCCACTAGACCCTACCTCTTATAGGTTCCCCCCTCTCACATCACCACACTGGGCACTAAGCCTCCAGCCTGAGAACCCTTCGGGAACAAGCCACAACCAAACCCTAGCAGTGAGACTTGGTCCATGGGTGACAGTCACGCTCCTGTGCACTCATGTGTGCTGTTGGGATTATGCATCACACAGGTGGGAGCTGGCATTGACTGTGGACACGTCTGTCTCTTGTTCTCTCCTCCACCCCCCAGAGTGTCTCTATGTGTTCCCGTGCCAGTGGAACTACCGGCCTGACCACTGCATGTATGGAAGCAACTGCAAGGAAGCTGAGCGTGAAGGCGTGTCTGTGCTGCACGGGAACAGAGGCGTCTACCACGACGACAAGCAGCCAACGTTCAGGGCGCTCTACGAAGCGATACGGGACGTAAGTGTGCCCTGGCTTGCTTTCGGCAGACATGCCCTCAGCAGCATGGAGCAGCACAGGTGCTTTGGTCACCAGACCCTTGGAAGACCAAACGTTTACGAAGCATCGAGTAATCCCGGCAAACATTCAGTGTTTCCCGCCTCAGTCGCTCAGATCCCTATAGCCACTCACCACCTAATGCTATACCGTGTTCACGGGTGACTGTTCCCAGTAGGCCACTCATTATTTTTTATTTATATCTAAATCTATTTAATGTACTTATGTACAGATGTATTACACATAGTTAAGAGAGAGCTCTTCCATCTGCTGGTTCACTTCTCTAAATGGCCGTCAGGGCTGGGGCTGGGCCAGGCCCACGCCAGGAGCCAAGAGCTTATTCCAGACCTCCCACGTAGGTGCAGGGGTTCAAGTACTTAGGCCGTCCCTCTGCTGCTTTCCCCAGCTGTTAGCAGGGAGCTGGATGGGAAGAGAAGTGGAGCAGCCACGACTTGAACAGAATGCCAGCATCACAGGTGTCAGCTTTACCCGCTATGCCACAGCGCTGGCCCATAAATAAATATTTAAAGGAAAAAAAGGAAAGAGGAGTCCTTTGCCCTTTATCACAGTAGAAAGTAACAGAGTAAAGAGAGTATGATAAAAATAAAATGACATGACTCAGTCTAAAGGGTTACCCTTAACAATTTTTTTTCAATATTTATTTATTTGAAAGGCAAAGCAAGAGAGAGAGAGAGGGAGAGAGAGGGGGGAGAGACAGAGAGAAAGATCTTCCATCTGCTTGTTCACTCCCCAAATATCCGCAAAAGCCAAGGCTGGGCCAGGCCAAAGGCGGGAGCCAGGACCTCCATCCAGGTCTCCCACATAGGTGCAGGGACCCAAGCACTTGAGATATTTTCTTCCATGTTCCCAGGTGCATTAGCAGGGAGCTGGCTCAGAAGTGGAGCAGCTGGGAGCTGAACTGGTGCTGTGAGAGGGGATGCCACTGTCCAAACTGATGCCTTAACCTGCTGTGCTACAATGCTGGTACCTTAATTTGAGAGATAGAGAGCTCCCATTCACTGGTTCCTGACCCAAATGCCTATAATAGCCACACTGGGCAAGGGGGTGGAAGCTGGGAATTCAATCCAGGTCTCCCATGTGAATGGCAGGAACCCAGTGCCATGAGCCATCACCTGCTGCTCCACAGGACTTGCGTTAGCAGGAAGCTAGAGTCAGGCCCTGGAGGTGGGGACTGAACCCAGGGCCTCCAGCAGTGGGATGCAGGGGGCTGAACTCCTGGGCTGAACAGCTGCCCCAGAGGTTACCTGTTTGAAACGGTAATTCCAAGGCATAGAGCATGGGTCAGCCAGTTGAGAAGAATCTGTTCTGTTACCTGTTTCTGTAAGGCACATGGACTGAGAATGATTTTTACATGGATGGAGAGAAAAAAAAGGAGAAAATTTTTTCCTGACACAAGAAAACTACCTAGAATTCCAATGTCAGCATGCATATTGAGTTTACTGGGACATAGTGGCACCTCTCTGTTTGTGGGTGGTCTGGGACTACTTTGGTGCTACAGCAGCAAGGATGCTCAGTTGCAGTAGAGAGCTATGGTCCCCGAAGTGTGAAGGATTTTCTACTGGGACAGTGTTGTGGCTCACTGGGTTGAGCCACTGCTTGCCGGTGCCAGTAGCCCACACTGCAGTGCTAGTTTGAGTCCCAGCTGCTCCCATTCTGACCCAGCTTTCTGTAATGTGCCTGGGATAGCAGCAGAGGACAGTCCAGTGCTTGGCCCTTGCCACCCATGTGGGAGACCAGGATAGCGTTTCTAGTTCCTGGCTTCAGCATGGCCATTGTGGTCTTTTGGGGAGCAGATGGAAGATAGCACTCTCTCTCTTTATTCTGTCTGTCTCTCTGTCACTCTGCCTTTCAAATAAATAGTCTTTGAAAATAGAAAAAGAAATAATTATTACATAGTAATCCTAATAATATTTGACACCCCCTAAATAAAATGTATAGATTTTATTAGAGGTGTTTTTCTTTTTGAGATTTATTGATTTGAAAGGCAGAGTGACAGAGAACAAGAGACAGATAGAGAGAGATCTTCCATTTGCTGGTTCATTCCTCCAAATGGCCACAATGGCTAGGGTTGGGCCAGCCTAAACCAGAAGCCTGGAACTCCATCTGGGTCTCCCATGTGGGTGGCAGGGGTCCAGGTATTTGGGTCACCTGCTTTCCCAGACACATCCGCAGGGAGCTAGATGGGAAGGGGAGTAGCCAGGAGTTGAGCTGGCACTCACATGAGATAAGGGTGTGGCAGGTGGTCCTAACCCCCTGCACCACAACACTGGCCCAGAGTTTTTTGTTTCCTTGAGGAACCCTAGGGGTTTCATGCAGGCTTTGGAAGGAGTGAGGCAGGGGTGAATGCTATGACTCAGTAATACATTCTCGTGTCTATGAAAGTGTGCCTTCTTCCAGGGAGAGTTCCAGAGAATTCCACCTCTGGAATTCCTGGAGCCATCGTCTGTGTGAGGAGGAGTTTAGCGCGCACCTCTTTCTTCTCCTGGACTCATGATTCCTAATGTTTGGGCCTGAAAGGCCAGGTGTTTAACTGCATAGGCGGCTTGTCCAGGACTCATCGAGAGCGTTACCTTCGGCCCTGCAAACACTGGCTGCAGGGGAGAACCTGGTGGGGACCACATGGAAGTTCAGGAAGCCGCAGCATCCCCTGGTTCTCGGGGTGGGGGTGCCCCCTCGTTCTCGGGGTGGGGGGGTCCCCTCGTTCTTGGGGTGGGGGTGTGTGTGATCTGCCAGCCCTGGTGCAGAGTGGGGCACCTGTGGCTCTCTCATCACAAGTCATCTTGTTTGCCCTCTGGGGAGTCACAGGGAGGGCCGGAGCCCTTGCTTCGTGAGCCATGCTGTGGAATACACTGGGTGACGGAGTTCCTCAGTTGGGCCTAAGCACCCAGCTGTTCATGCAGGCATTTCAGTCGGCAGTCACTAGCCCCACCCCAAAACCTGGGCCCACCATAGATGGACTCTGTTGTAAAGGATGCCTTTGCCCACCCTCGACAAGGCTGTGTGCCTTCCTGGCTCAGACCTGGACAGACATAGGCTCAAATCCCAGTTTTGTTCCTTTATTAACTGTTTTTACCTTACTGAGTTTCCTCACTGACAAAATGGACATAATGTCTATCTCCTAAAAGTACTTTGAATGATGGTCTTTAAACTTGACTTATGCTTATACTCAATAGCTAATAGAAGTTGTTGGTTTTTTTTTTTTTTTTTATGTTACCTGTTTTCATTTACTTGAAAGGCAGAGAGACAGAGATCTTCCATGTACTGGTTCACTCCTCAAACGCCTGCGATAGTAGATACTCGACCAGGCTGAAACTGGAAGCCAAGAGCTCAATCCAGGTCTCCAGTGTAGAGCTCAGGGACCCAGCTCCGTGAGCCATCATCTGTTGCTGCATCAGCAGGAAGCTGGAATCAGGAGCAGAGCCAGGACTTGAACCCAGACGCTCCAAAATGAGATATGGGTGTCTCAAGTGGTATTTTTTTTTTTTTTTTTTTTTTGACAGTCAGAGTTAGACAGTGAGAGAGAGAGAGAGAGAGAGAGAAAAGTCTTCCTTCCATTGGCTCATTCCCCAAATGGCTGCTGCGGCCGGCACTGCGCTGATCTGAAGCCAGGAGTCAGGTGCTTCCTCTTGGTCTCCCACGCGGGTGCAAGAGCCCAAACACTTGGGCCATCCTCCACTGCCCTCCCGGGCCACAGCAGAGAGCTGGACTGGAAGAGGAGCAACCGGGACTAGAACCCAGGATCCATATGGGTTGCCAGCGGCACAGGCGGAGGATTAACCAAGTGAGCCACAGCGCCGGCCTTTTTTTTTTTTTTTAAGATTTATTTATTTACTTGAAAGGCAGAATTACAGAGAAGCAGAGGCATAGAGAGAGAAAGAGGCCTTCCATCCACTGGTTCACTCCCCATTTGGCCGCAACAGCTGGAGCTGGGCCAATCTGAAGCCAGGAGCTTCTTCCGGGTCTCCCACATGGGTGCAGGGGCCAAGGATTCATGCCATCTTCCACTGCCTTCCCAGGCCATAGCAGAGAGCTGGATTGGAAGTGGAGCAGTCAGGACTTGAACCGGCGCCCATATGGGATGCCAGCACTGCAGGCGGTGGCTTTACCCACTATGCCGCAGCACTGGCCCCTCAAGGTATCTTAACTTCTACATTAAACACCTGTGTCTATAAATTGTTTCTGATAACAGTTTCACATTTGTCTCTTTCTCTAGCATGTCCATATTTTCTCACTTGCTCTTTCTCTTCCTGTTTATAAATACTCTCTGTCTTTCTCTTTACCTAACCTGTGCAGTACGGTCTCCTCCCATCACAAACCGAGGACAGTCATCCATCACATAGACATTCTTTTTCAGTTTGAGGCACTGATTTTATGCAGAAACAAGTCCATCTTCTAGGATTTCAAAAGTTAACAAGACAGAGCGCTGGACCTCCAGCTGTGTCTAGCCAGGTGAGGGAAGCCAGACAATACTCAGAAAGAAAGCAAGAGACACCCAGGCGAGGTGTTCACCTGGTGAAGGAGAGCAGGGTGCTGGGGCTGGACCCACAGGTGGGGAGGCCTTGGCAATCAGATGGAGGCAGCCCTGGGGAGGTCTGGCGAGGGTATCACCCTGAGCAGAACAGCCACATAAGGAGAGAGGGGAGGCTTGGGGGGTGCCCAGACGGCTTTGCGCCTTTAGCTCGACCTTTGTCCACTGTGGAGGGAAGCCCCTGTGGGAATGTGGTGGGCTCTGATTAGGGTTCTGATTTATCACGTGGGTAACTCAGTGGAACGGGCACAAGAGAAGCAGCACGGGGCCATCTCTGAGACGGACGGCAGCTGTTAAGTGAGAGACGGGGCCTGCATGGGTTTGCATGGGACTGGGAGGCTGGGAAGAAGTGGCCGTATTCTGTGTATGTTGTCAGGATGGAGTTTGCAGGCCTTGCTGATGGGGCGGGGAGAGAAAGGGGTCGAGGATGATGGCAGGGTGGTTTTGGCCTGTTCTGTTCCCATCACTGGGGATACAGTGGGAGGACAGACTCTGGGGTCTGTCAGTGGTCCAAACTGGACTGGGAAGGAAACTGTCCCAGTGCTGGTCTGGGACAGAGCCTTCTTGCATTCTGTCACGTGACGTACAATCTGTTTTGGGGGACTTTAAAAGGATTAACATGTGCTCCAGAAACCAGACACCGACCCACTCCTGCCCTCTCCCCATCCTTTTCTTCCTTTCCGTTGGTCTCATCTTCCTCTATAAAACGTCCTTGGCAGGGATGAACCTTGGACTTGATCTAGTGAGTGGCCTCTTCCCGGACAACAATACTAATAAAACAGGGACACACGCTCGTGACTAAATAGTTGGAAAGATTTATTTGAGAATACTGCTCATGGACATTTCCCATGGGAAAACATGGGAATTTACCAAATAAAACAAAAACCCCAAAAGTATGATATAAAGTGGGGCCAAAGAAACCATCACTTTTTAGTACATGAACTATTAAAACAAAGGTCACTGGGGGGTGGGCATTTGGTGTAGTGATTACGACGCACTTGGGATGCCTGCATCCCACATTGGAATTCCTCCGTTCAGATCCTGACTCTGCCCCTGATTCCAGCTTCCGGCTGATGTGCACCCCGGGAGGAAGTGGTAGAGTGGCTCAAGAAGCTGGGTTCCTGCCAGCCACATGGGAGACAAGGATTGAGTTCCCAGCTCCTAATTTTGGCCTAGCCCAGCCTCTGCTGTTGCAAGCATTTGGGCTGTGAACCAGCAGATGGGAAATCTGTCTCTCTCTCTCTGCCTTTCAGATAAATATGACTAATTAATTAAACAGAAATAAAGTTCATTGCCAATAAATTTCACTAGTGATCACTAAACTCTGGACTGATGAGATTACCATAGACATACTTCAAGTTTCTTCACTAAGACTTCTTAGTGGTTAAGCTGTGAGCTAGGATACCTTTGGCCCACATCTGAATACCTGGGTTTGAGTCCTAGCTCCTGACTCCAGCTTCCTGCTGATGTAAACCCTGGAAGGTAGCGGTGATGACTCAAGTAGATTCCTGCCAGCTATGTGGAAGGCCTAGATTGAGTTCCTGGCTCCCAGCTTTTGCCTTGCCCAGCCCTGGCTGTTGTGTGCATTAAAAATTGAACCAGTAAAGGGGCCGGTGCTGTGGCACAGTGGGTAAAGCTGCTGCCTGCCGTGCTGGCATCCCATTTAGGCGCCGGTTCGAGTGATCCAGCTCTCTGCTATGACCTGGGAAAGTAGTAGAAGATGGTCCAAGTTCTTGGGCCCCTGCACCCACGTAGGAGACCCAGAAGAAGCTCCTGGCTCCTGGCTTTGGATTGGCGCAGCTCTGGCCATTGCGGCAATTGGGGAATGAACCAGCAGATGGAAGATATCTCTCTCTCTCTCTCTCTCTCTCTCTCTCTCTCTCTGCCTCTCCTCTTTCTTTGTAACTCTTTCAAATAAGCAAATAAATCTTTTTTAAAAAAGTAAACCGGTAGAAAGGATTTTCTTTCTCCTCTCTCACTCATTCTCTTTCTCTCAAATACATATTTTTTAAAAAAATAAATATTACTTACTTTAAAGGCAAAAGCTATGAAAAATTCAATGTTTTGGTGTAACATTTCAAGTGAATATTTACTGAGTCTTTTTCTGCTCAGCATGAACATGCTATGTAAACTGTCCTGTCCCAAAGAATGTGCTTCGTTTTTAGACTTTAAAAGAATTGAGGATGCAAATGAGCCCTCTTCCTTGTGTGTGTGTGTGTGTTTTTTTTTTTTTTTTAATAGGTAAAGACACTGAGATCCAGAGAGGTTAAATAATTACATGAGGTTGCAGGACTAAGTCAGGATTTGAATTTAGGTCCTAAGAACACCCAAACCTGTGCTTGCATGCTTCCATGAAATCCCTAGCATTTCTTAGGACAAAAGTGATTTGCATGGTAAACGGTGTCTCAGTAACTAAAGTCAACTTTTTCTTTCTCTCTTTAAATCGCCTTTCAGTTTCCCTTTCAAGACAATCTCTTTCAATCCATGTATTACCCGCTGCAGCTGAAGTTTCTGGAGACTGTGCACACTTTGTGTGGACGAATTCCCCAGGTCTTTCTGAAGCAAATCGAGAAGAGCATGAGGAGGGCTTATGAGAAACACGTCATCATCCACGTAGGCGCCCACCACCAGATGCACTGAGCGTTTCCCCCGCTGCGAGTCAGTCGGGCATCTTGGGACCGGGGAAAAGCTTCTTCCAGCTGCCTGTGCCTCTCGTGTGTGACCACTTAATGGTGCTCCACCACTGCCGAGTTGAAAAGGACTCGTTAAATTTCCCTAAACTAGTTGGCCCTAAAAGGGAATATGCTTTTCTTCATGTTTTTCTAAAATGCTATTTATCTTTTTTTTTCATGAACTATTTTTATGCATTTAACATTGTTCAGGCAGGTTGCACCAGCTGGGAAAAGGAACTTCTGTGAGTCTACAGGTAGGCCTGAGATGCGTCTGAAGACATTTTAGTGGAGTCGGGCGTGGCTTATGCCCAAGAAGCTCCCACACTCTTGGGATAAAAGTAGTTATCTCCTTGAGAAGCAAACAAGCAAATGTGTACAGAACATAGATAAAGGAGGCAAAGGCAAGATTCGCTTAGCCATAATCCTACCCACTCGTGGGGAAGATGGCAGCCACTTTGATGGGCTCCTTCTGACCCCTTTCTCTACCTCTCTACTTTCCTTGTAAAACAAGCCATCTCAGTAAAAGTCGACCTCTTTGCTGAGATTTTTGTGTAAAAGACTAAAAAGTTGGACATTTAAAATACACCCGGGGAGTAGGCATTTTGCTTAGGAACCAGGATGCCCAGGCCCCAAATCCAAGTGTTGGTTCCCGGCTCCATATCCTGAATCCAGCTTCATGCTAATGCAGACCCTTGGAGGCAACCCTGATGGCTCAAATGATTGGGTTCTTGCCACGCACACTGGGAATCTGGATAGTGTTCCTGGCTCCCAGCTTTGTCCTTGGCCCAGCTCTGGCCATTTTGGGCATTTGGGACATGAACCAACAGATGGGAGCACTCTCTCTCTGCCTTTAAAAAAAAAAAATCTGGAAGAAACATTCAGATTTCAGCTAATTCGACAGTGTTAAAGAATGAAGCATGTTTCTTTAAAAAAAAAAAATTATGGAATGGGCCTGGGAAAAAAGCAAAGATAGCCAAAGTATGTGAGTCCCTGCCACCATGTGGAGACCCAGCTGGAGTTCCTGGTTTCTGGCTTTGGCCTGGCCTAACCCAAGCCATTGAAGCCGTTAGGGGAGTAAATCAGTGGATGGAAACTCTCACCCTCCACTCCTACTGTCTCTCCCTCTCAGTCTGTCACTCTGCCTTTCACATAAATAAAATAAATCTTTTTAAAATTTTTAATTATGTAAATTTTAGGAATCATACCAGCTGGCACTATGGCACAGTGGGTTAAGCCACCATCTTCAGTGCCAGGATCCCATGTGGGTGCCAATTCAAGTCCTAGCTGCTCTACTTCCCATCTAGATCTACTCCCTGCTAATGCACCTGGGAAAGCAGTGGAAGATGCCCCAAGTACTTGGGCCCCTGCACTCACATGGGAGAACTGGAAGAAGCTCCTGGCCCAGCCCTGGCTATTGTGGCCATTTGGGGAGTGAACCAATGGATGGAAGATTTCTCTCTGTCTTTCCTCTCTCTATCTCTCTCTCTGTAACTCTTCCAAATAAATAAATCTTAAAAAAAAAAAAATCATAACAAATTCCCATGCAACAATAGCTTCTGAAAGGAAATTCAGTAATTGTATCAAACCCAAGGAGTCTTATTGGCAGAGATGTGATTTTGAATTTATATTCAGGCAGAAATATTTTATCTCTTCAGTTATTTGTAGGGGTGGTCATCTTCCTTCTTTTTAATTTTTTATTATTTATTTGAAAGGCAGAGTTATAGAGACAGAAGCAGAGAGAGAGAGAGAGAGGTCTTCCATCCGCTGGTTCACTCCCCGAAGGCCAGAGCTGCACCAGTCCAGCCAGGAGCCAAGAGCTTCTTCCAGATCTCCCACGCAAGAGTAGAGATCCAAGGACTTGGGCCATCTTCTGCAGCTTTCCCAGGCCATAGCAAAGAGCTAGATTGGAAATGGAGCAGCTGGAACTTGAATTAATGCCCATGTGGGATGACCAGCACTGCAGGCAGCAGCCTAATCTACTTCACCACAGTGCCGGCCCCTCATCTTCCTTCTTTTAACTCTTGGGCAATGGGGTAGAAGTGTAAGGCCAATGTCAACTGTTGTGTATATAAAATAAATAGTTTAGCAAATTCCAGTGGCAACAAAATTCAACTTTAAATTTTTAAATATTAAAGTCCCTTTCATTTTTTTTTCTGCAAGAGAGCTTGCAGGTCTTACTACCTTGGTACAGTGGAGGAAGTTCTGTACTCTGTTCCCCAAAGGGACCTGACTTACAGTTGGTATCAGCGCAGGGGCATTTTGCATAATGCTTTATTTATCTCAAATGACTTTTGCAAATGTGATCACTCTGATATTTGCAAACTCTACTGAACTTAGTAGCGGTCCACATCATCTCCACTAGGTAAATAAGGGAATTGTAACACAAAGAAATGAATGTACCAAATATAACTCCTGCTCTGTAAGACACACAGGCCTGTGTACGTCGTGCATCCTGTCTTACAGAGAAAGAATGGGAAAAAGCAATATAAAAACCTTTCATCATAAGCGGAAAGCAGTCTGAAAGTGTCAAGTGAGAAATAATATTTGCTAATGTAAATATGGTATGCTGTGAAGTATAGGTGCAATATCAGCAGAAAATGTCTTACTCTGAGAAGAAGCTGTGAAAACCTCAGCACTAGTAAGAGGTAAATAGATATCAGTCAGTATTGGTATGTGGCACCCTGATGGTAGTAGCAAATTTAAATCTAAAATTTTAGAGTGATAACTCATCTTTTCCTTTGGCTCTGTTGGGTGGCCTTTGGTTTTTTTTTTGTTTTGTTTTTGTTAAGATGTGAAACTTATTTTTGCCTTTATATTTTGTTTCCTTATTTCACCACTAGGGCAGTGCTGCAGGTGATATCATTCATTCTTTTGTAGCTTTGGTGCCAGGCGTTCCATCCATGGTATGGGCACATAGGATTTGGAGAAATTTTGAATTGTCATTTGGTTGGGGGGCAGGTGCATCCTACATACCCCCAAAAGAAGGTTTTAGTGAGAGACCCGGGGTGAGAACACAATCCTCTCACTTCTAGGCTTCTTTCTCCTTGTTCAGAATGGTCAGTAAGACCCACAGCTCTCTCTCAGACTTGCTGCGGCTCCCAGACGTATAAAGAGTCCCCTCTGTCCTCTGGGAAGTCCCACAAAGAACTGCTGCGAAGACTTGAAACACAACGATACTTTTCCTTTGTGAGAGTCAGGTTGACCCCAACTCTCAACCACTGGCGGGACAAGGTTGCCAGCAACGTCAATGACAGAACCTTGGAACGTACCAGAATGATGAACCATGAGCCTGTGAAAAACGTAGAACCTAGTCTGATTTTCTGCCTTGGAATTCCTGTGCTGCCTCCTGAAATTTTAGGTGAGTATGGCAAAGAATTTAGGGCCCATTTGTTCTTCCAGCCCCTACTGCCAGCAGGTGCAAGTTGTTTTCTGTAATATTTTCTCTGTTTTCAACAATTCTCAGCAAACTAGCTCATTCATACCTTTAAAATTGAGGCACTACCAAGTTGAATTCAATGGGCTTATTTTAAAAAAAATCACTATCATTTTTTTTTTATTATTATACAAGAGGCAAGAGAAACACAGACAGAGAGAGCTCCTAATAGCTGATTTCACTTCTCAAATGCCCTCAGTGGCTGAGGCTGGACCAGGGGCTGAAGCCAGGAGCAAGAACCTCAATCCAGGTTTCCTACATGAGTGACGGGGACCCTACTGCTTGAGCCATCACTGCTGCCTCTCAGGGCTTGCATTGGTAGGAAGCTGGAATCAGGAGCTGAGCTGGGATTTGAACCTGGGCACTCTGATGTGGGATGTGGGCAGCTTAACTGCCAGACCAGATAGATGCCTGCCCCAGTGGATTTCTTCAACATGTCATCTGTGGTCTGAAGTCTGCCAGAGGTTGTGTTGCGTCTTACACTGCATGGAGTCCATACTGGGAAGACCAAGGACAGGTTCCGTCTTCTGTCCTGCCCTCTCTGCTCTTCTCCTCTCTTCTGTTCTCATTTCTTTCAAGGCTCTGCTTCATGACTATAACTAAGTAGTTTCTTTGGAGAAGGAAAGAATGCTCTCTTCTAGCAAAATGTGCTGGGAGGCAGCGGTGATTGCTCAAGTGATTGGGTTCCTGCCATGCACATGAGACCTGGATTGAGATCACAGCTCTTAGCTTCTGTCCCCAGCCCAGGCTGTTGCAGGCATTTGGGGACAGTGGACCAGCAGATGGGAATCTTTCTCTCTCTCAAATAAAAAAGAAGAAGAAAAGATGAGGCATTCTATGGCAGAGTCACTAGAAATGCTGACAGTATTGTTCTTACTGAGTCTTTGTCCAATACAAATCTCAGAAACTGTGACTTACATTGAAAACTCCAGTATTTTGAAACTTAACTTGCTAGAAAATTGATTGAAGTTTTGCTTTGACTTGCAGAATGACAATCTAGCTTTTGTGGTATAATGCTCCAAGCTTTTCTATTCATGTGAAATCTCTATTGAATATTCAATGCTTCTGTTGCAAATTGTGACTTTTACTGGATGTGGTATGGAGATGGGTGTTTATATGGACTCCCAGAAGTTTGGGAGTATTTTGTTTGTTGAAATGATGGTTCAAAAACAAACCACACCACACAGAACCCTGCTGTTATTCACAGGGATGGGTCACAAGATGATGACCCAATAAAGGGAACAAAGCACTCCGACCCACCCTGAAAACCACAGCATTCATACAAATTAGATTTGTATTCACATTTCCTGGTACTCAGAGGGATGAAAAGATAAATTGCACGTGTTTGGTCAGCCAAAATGAACATATTTCACAAACAAATCCAGAAATGCATTGAGTTCTATGGGAATATGTCATTATACTCCTATTTAATAGGAAGGAAGGCAAGTTTTCTTTCTTTTTTTTTTTTTTTTTTTGGTCCTCTCTTTTTTTCGTATTCTTTTTCATTTTTGCTTTTCCCTGGGTAATACAAGAAGCTTGGCTGTGGTGGCAGAAGTGACAGAGCTTGGGGATCCCTTTGCAGATAGAACTGAGTTCTAATCCTGGGATCAAATCTTTATGATGAGAGTTTTCTAGAAATTAAAAAAAAAATTGTCATGTCATTTATACCTTTTATGCCTCTTAAAGGAGGCGCCAATGTGTGTTGTCCCTAAGAACTGAGCCGTCCTAGATGGCCAAGCCTTAGAGCAAACCACACCACAATTATATTGCTGGTATATAAAGCCGATGAGATTTCTCCAGCAAAAAGAGAGCTTTGTTCTAGTTTTTCTTCTTCACAGGTCAAAACTGGAAATACTCTCTGGAGTCTGTAAGATAGAGCACTTGTGTTTGTCCACCGTATACGCGAACATGTACAAATTGAGAGCAACTCCGCTGCATCGTTGTACATGTTTGTGTTGTCAAACGTTTATAGCTCCCAAGGAGACCTTGAATGCATTTTATGTTGGGGAAACTTAATTTTTTGTAGCATTTGCTTGAAAGGAAATGATCATAAAAAGAATACTCCAAAGAAAAATTATTGCAGCAAATAAAAAGGAATACTAAGTATTATGATTTAATTACTGTGTCGTCTGTTTAAATGCCATCTTATGTTTTGTCTTTGTTTTTTTAATTAAAATCTTTTAAATACATGTCTTTTGGGATTATTTGGAAATTGTGTGTCTTTTCCTTTATGGGAAGTTTAGAATTGTATAATGTTACATTATAAGATTTAAGCCCTTCTGGGACTGGTGCTGTGGCATATGGGTAAAACTGCTGCCTACAGTGCTGGCATCCCAGATGGATACTGGTTTGAGTCCCGGCTGCTCCACTTCTGATACAGCTCTCTGCTATGGCCTGGGAAAGCAGTGGAAGATGGCCCAACTTCTTGGGCACCTGCACCCACGTGGGATACCCGGAAGAAGCTCCTGGCTCCTGGCTCCTGGCTTCAGATTGGCGCAACTCTGGCCATTGTGGCCAACTGGGGAGTGAAGCAGCAGATGGAAGACCTCTCTCTACCTCTTCCTCAGTCTCTCTAACTCTGCCTTTCAAATAAAATAAATAAATCTCTAAAAAAAATTTAAGCCCTTCTAACCAGAAATCTTTAGTAGGTAGCTTAGTCTGTTTTTTCAAATCATAAAAATCTGCTTTGTTTATAAAAATGCCACACTATAAATTATGTTATTTGGTTTTGTGTTTGAGATAGAATGAACAGTGTTTGGAAAAAATGTGAAAATTAGTTCTCCACATTCCTACATTTTATTTCGCAAAATTGAGCGTGACTTGTTAGCTAGTACACATGAAAAGTAACAATCATGCCAAGAATTTTGAAGCCACACAAAATTTTTCCCCACAATCTTTTAAAATTTACTATGTCTTTTAAAATTTTACTATATTAATTTTTTTTTTTAATATTTGGGAGGCAGATAGGACTCCCACCTGCTGGTTCACTCTCCAAATGCCAACAACCACCAAGTCTGGGCTGGGCTGAGGCCAGGAGCTGGGCACTTAATCCAGGTCTCCTGTGTGGGTGGCAGGAACTCAGTGACTTGAGTCCCCATTGCTGCTCCCCAAGGTCTGCATTCGCACAAAGCTGGAATTGGGAGCCAGAGCCTGAGACTGAACCCAGGTATTCCAGTGTGGAATGTCGGCATCCCAACTGGCATCTCAACAGCTAGAACAAACACTTGCCACTCTAACCTCTGATTAAAAATCAGCACAAGGTGCTCAATGCAATTACTAAGTTTTCTCCATATAAAGATTTATTTATTTATTTAAAAGGTAAAGACAGAGAGAAAGGTCTTCCATCTGCCATTCACTCCCCAGATGGCCACAATGGCCAGAACTGCGCCAATCCGAAGCCAGTAGCCAGGAGCTTCTTCTGGGTCTCCCACGGAGGTGCAGGGGCCCGAGGACTTGGGCCATCCTCCACTGCTTTCCCAGGCCACAGCAGGGAACTGAATTGGAAGTGGAGCAGCCGGGACTTGAACCGGCGCCCATGTGGGATGCAGGCACTGCAAGTGGCGGCTTTACCCACTGCACCACAGTACCGCCCCCTCATATTTTAAAACATGTCAAAATGCCAAGATATTTGGAAAGATCCTGGAGTAATTGAACCCACATTGAGTTATCGGGTGAGGTGTACACTAGCTAGGGCTGACATTCTCTGAGGGTCCAGGGACACCCTTGCAGCCCTTTGTACTCAGATTTCCACCCCCTGGAATGGGGCTGACTGTGACTTTCCTCATAGACTTTGGTGAAGAATACATGGGCCAGTGCACACAAAATACCTTGCACATGGCCAGCACTCAGCACATGTGAATTGTTGAGCAGGGACCCTCCTCCTGTGTTGAGAAGTTGTGATATGAGAAAAATCTGTTGCTTTAGGCAGTCTAGTTCCAAACAAGTGCTACCTCTGCCTTGACCGGTAACCCATGTGAGATGAGGCAGACAAAACCTGTTTCAAATCTATGAACAAACACCCTGGCAAGACTAGCATTTAGAAGATTAAAAAGGAAAAGGTGTTAGATTCCAAGCAGGTGGGAGAATGTCACATGCCTAGGGTTCCTATTTATGTATTGAATGTTTGCACTGTTTATTAATTCTTTGTATCTCAAGCTAACAGAAGTGGCCTCTCTGGGTTTAAAAGAGGCAGGGGCCTGGACCACGCAGTGAGTCTACTGTGTTTTCCTAGGGTATCATTTTGAGATTTTTTTACATTAAAATATACTGTGCTGTATGATGGAATGCAGTAAGCAATCATGGTTAGAAGATAGGCCCTGGAGCCGGCACCATGGCATAGCAGGTAAAGCCTCCACCTGGGATGCTGGCATCCTTATGTGGACTCTGGTTCATGTCCTGGCTGTTCCACTTCCAATCCAGCTCCCTGCTAATGGCCTGGGAAAAAAGGTGGAAAATGGCCCAAGTGTTTGGGTTCCTGCCACCCATGTGGGATACCTGGATCAGAGGTGGAACAGCCAAGACTCGAACTGGCACCCATATGGGAAGCCAGCACTGCTGATGGTGGCTTTACACCTTGTGCTATAGCACCGGCCCCCCTGTGCAGAATACCTGGATGGAGCCATGGTCGGACATTAACTTAGCAGGGAGTCCACATGCAGAAGTCCTGTCTTCTTTATCTTTTATTTATTTATTCTTTCAAATCTTGTACAGGGAGAGCAAGATCTTCCATCTGCCAGATCCAGGGCTGGGCCAGGCTGAAGCCCAGAGCCTGGAATTCAGTCTGAGATCTGACTACTTGAGCCATCACATGCTGCCTCCCGGTGTGCACATTAACTGGAAGCTGGAATGGGAAGCAGAGAGCTGGGGTTCAAACCCAGGCTCTCCAATAATGAGATGAGGGCACTCCATGCAGTGGCCTAACGGCTGTGTCAGCTGCTCACCCCTTCTTTGTCATTTTAGAGAAGCTCAGGTGGGAAAATGCGGGACTCCGGCTTCAGTAGCTTTACCATTCCCACAACAGTCTTGTTTTTGTTTGCTTCCTTACCAAGAAAGGAATGGCTCAGAGTAGCCCTGCTCCTTTATCATAATCTCGTAGCATTCTCCTCACTTCTCCTCCATGGTTCCATGAACTCAGTAAATGTCACCAAAATCCTTACCCCCCAAACCTGGGCGTTATCCTTGTCTTTTCCATTTTCCTGATCTTACGTGCTCTTCATCACTACATTCACCCCTAGACCATCCCACTCCTGACACCAGTTTCAGCAGTAGTCAAAACCCTTTGAATTCCCAATGGCAATAAACAAACATACAGAGTAAAAGAGAACGATTGCACTTACCACCTGGCTGTTAACGGATTCTGGATTCTGCATCCTATGTTTATCTTTAATGCTGCCTCTGCTTAATATACAGTTCCCTGGGTCCTTGTCCTCTCTGGCCTGGATGCTTGTTTAATGCCTCACTTACCTCTCTGCATTCACTCTGACCTTGCCTAAGCAAGAACCCACCTCCAACTCCTGTGTAAAACCTTTCAGTGGTTCCCCTTTGTTCTTTGAATAATATCCACGCGTCTTGTAAAATGTGTGTTCTACCTCCTACCTCATCTTGAGAGTTACTCTCTCCTGTTCCACTAATTTCCATTTATGCTGGTTTGTTTTCTGTTCCTTTAAGAAGCCGTGCTCCAGGGACAGTGTTGTGGTGCAATGAGTTAAGCTGCCACCTGTGCTGGATAACATCATCCCATATGGGTGCTGGTTCAAGTCCCACCTGCTCCAGTTCTGATCCAACTCCTTTCTAATGCACCTGGGAAGCAGTGCGAGATGGCCCAAGTGCTGACTTGGATGGAGCACCAGAATCTGCAGAATGAACCAGAGGATGGAAGATTCTTTCTCTCTCTCTTTCCTTCCCTCCCTCTCCCCCTCCCCCTCGTT